CCTCCGGCAGGCAGGCTCGGCACACGACCCCCAGGCAGGCCCTTCCGTGGGTGGTACCAGCACCGCCCTGGCTGGATATGCCCCTCCAGCCTCTGGGCTGCAGAGAGAGGGCAGCCCGGCTGTCTTGCTGACAGCAATCCACAGGACAGGGCGCAGCAGATGAGGCAGGGCCAGGCCCCCCCCTTCCCCAAGGCTACCCTGGCAGTCCCGTGAGGACAATTAGGGTGGGCCTGAGGGGAAGGGGATTTACCTGGAGCCTCCCCAATGCATCCCTGCCTCAGGTTCTGTCTGCAGGAAGCAGGCAGCCAGGCCCAAATCCTGTGCCACTGAGGCACCTCTCCCTGCACCCAGGGAAGACTCACGGCCCTGGCACCAGGCCTGGGCTGTTTGTCCCCCAGGTGGGGCCCTGGGAGGCCCCTGGGCCTGGCTCTGCCTCTGTTTAGCTTCTCAAGACTGCTTGGTCCTGACTGGGGAGCGGGAGCAGGAGCAGCCTCTCCACCCTTCCACCCTACCCCCCACCCTAGGAGGCCTGACTGCCTCAGAGAGGGACCTCTCATGTGGGGGCAGGCACTGTTCTGTAATGGCCGCTGGAGAGTCAGCTGTGCACCAGGTCCTGGCCTGTGCTGAGCAGATACCTGGCAAACGTGGTGATAAACACATGCCCAGAGAAAATAGAAGCCCGGATAGGTGGTGCCAGGGCCCCTGTGGGGACATACATGAGCCCTGGCTGACCCTGAGCTCCCCAGGTGCATTTGCCGAGTGAGGCCGTGGCCTGGGCAGCACAGCCTGGGCAGGTGGGTGAGCTCCTTACTAAGGACCAGGGACGCTTGAAAGCACCTCACCCACCTGATGTGGCTGCTTACCCAGGGTGTGCAGGGCCCTGGTGGGAAGCCTGTCCAGGTTTCCTCTGCACCCGCCCGCCTGGCTCTCGCGCACCGCAGGGAGGGCGTCCTGGGAGAATGCATCTTCCAATCTGCTCTCCAAGGTGGCTCAGATGTCACTCAGCCCCAACTCCCAGCCTCACAACCAGTCCCAGCTTCAGTTCCAGGCCTGCACACCCTCTTGTCACAGGGCGCCTTTGCAGGTGGGCCCTGCTGTCACCGGGAGCTGTAGATGTGGCCACACCATCATGCCCGGAGAGGCTGGACCCTGCTGGGGCTGGTTCCTTTCTGGTGCTTTCCCTGTTCTAGAGAGCCTGTCCCAGCCAGGCCCTGCTACCATCCCAGAAAGCTCTGGGAGCCGTCTGGGACACCCATCCCAACGTGGTGGCCAAGCACCACCTGCCTGCGGATCTGCAGCAGCCCTGAGCGGGCAGGCGGTGGGGGTGCGCCGCAGCCCAAACCTGTCTGGAAGAGGCCTCTGCCAGGCCCGCACAGGTACATTCCCAGCCAAGCGCGGCCCCCACCCCAAGTGTCATTCGAGAGTTCCATCCTGGCAAAAGACCATTTAAGTTAGTTTTGGGAAAGGAAATAGAAAAGGATCCACTCTCCAGGCTGAAGAGCGTACACCAGGAAACAGACGCACTTCCCTCGATCGGTTAGAGGAGACGAGGATGTGAGTTACAGCCTTTGGCCTGCCTGGGGTGGGACAGGCAAGGTGGAGAGGAAGGCAGCCTCCAGGGGGCCCTGCTGGCCCGGCCTCCTGGTGTCCCCAGGAACCCCTCCCGCACTGTACCAGGGATGGTGCGTGTGGCCAACAGTGTTGGTCAATTCCTCCCGAGATTAGGTCATAGAAGACGCCGGGGCTTCCTTGTGCTTTCTCTGTGGGGTCGCTGCCTCTGGGGAGAACCAGCCGCCACAACACAGACACTCAGCTGTTCATAGATGGCCACAAGGGAGGACCTGGGGCCTCCGGCCACAGCCAGCAAGGACCTGAGGCTGCCAACACCCCCAAGAGCTCAGAGGACCAGCTGACAGCTTGACTGCAACCGCATGAGAGCACCTGAGCCAGGTCCTCCCCACTAAGCCTCTTGGGAATTCCTGACCCCCAAAATCTATAAGATAATGAGAGAGCAAGACCCCAAGGTACAGGGACAGGAGCTGGGTCTTTGCAGGAGTGAGTGAGCCGCCAACACTGACTGGCTCAGGCCACAGGCTCCCATTGCCACTGCCCTTTGAAATCACCACCACCAAACCCCCACCGGTCCCTGCTCCCAAAATCCTGCAGTGCTCTCATCTTCATTTTATACGTTCTACGCAGGAAACTGAGGCAGAAAGAAGAGGGACTACCAAGGTCATGTACCCACCACTTAACAGTGCTTCACCTGCTCTTTGACCTACAGCCTTCAGAGGCTCCTCTCGGAACAGCCGCAGAAGCTGACCCCAAGGGGAAGCGACTCTTCATCTCGCGGGGCCACAGGCAGCACACCTGCCACTGACTGGGCTCAGGGCCCCACACTTTGCCGCTCCTCCAAGCAGACTGGGGGAGGCATCGGGTGAAAGCAGCAGTGCCTGATGCTCCAGCCACAGTGGGAAAGGGCCGAGAATGCCCAGCTCGGCCTCGTCCAGGCCGTGTGGCCTGTGGGGCTCTCAGGTCTGCCTTCTGCCAGGCACTCCTGCCAGGGCAGCTGTCCCCTGTTGCTCAGAT